ACCGCAATCGGAAGTTTCCTATCCCTGTAACTCTATGTTTTGATGATGAAAACATCCGGTCAGACTCAACTGAAACTGACTATAATTGTCTTTCTCAATGATTCAATTTTAATAGGCAGTAAGTGAAAATTTCAAAATGTGTTTTAGTCAATTTAACTTTCATTTGAAACTAACAAACAATAATTACACTTCCTACAAAATAGAGAGTGAGTCAATACGTCAAAATAATTATGTTAAATTTTATCTCTTATTCCCGTCAATCAACAACACGATTAATATACAATAGCCAGTGAGTTATTATACTGCAATTATTTTAACTTGTCTTTTCTTTTGAACTGTTATTTCCTTTTCGATACACAATAGTTTGTAGGTCATACTGTGCTTTTTTGTTTAGTAAGTCATAATGTGTAATATTAATTACATCTTTATAATTTAATCTGTCTTTCTCTACCAATCAATTATACATGAGCTGTTATTTTTATTACACAATAGAGAGTAAGTCATAATGTGCATTATTGGTTACATTTTATAATTTAATCTGTTTTTCTCTACAAATCAATGATACTCAAACTGTTGCTTTTGTTACACAATAGAGAGTAAGTTATAGTTATGTATTATTGGTTACATTTTATAATTTAATCTGTCTTTCTCTACCAATCAATGATACTTGAACTGTTGTTTTTATTACTCAATAGATAGTAAGTCATAATGTGTATTATTGGTTACATTTTTATAATTTAATCTGTCTTTCTCTACCAATCAATGATACTTGAACTGTTACTGTTATTACTCAATAGATCGTAAGTCATAATGTGTATTATTGGTTACATTTTTATAATTTAATCTGTCTTTTTCTACCAATCAATGATACTTGAACTGTTATTTTTGTTACTCAATAGATGGTAAATCATAATGTGTATTATTGATTACATTTTTATAACTTAATCTGTCTTTCTCTACCAATCAATGATACTCAAACTGTTATTTTTGTTACTCAATAGATGGTAAATCATAATGTGTATTATTGGTTACATTTTTATAATTTAATCTGTCTTTCTCTACCAATCAACGATATTTGAACTGTTACTTTTATTACTCAATAGATAGTAAGTCATAATGTGTATTATTGGTTACATTTTTATAATTTAATCTGTCTTTCTCTACCAATCAATGATACTTGAACTGTTACTGTTATTACTCAATAGATCGTAAGTCATAATGTGTATTATTGGTTACATTTTTATAATTTAATCTGTCTTTTTCTACCAATCAATGATACTTGAACTGTTATTTTTGTTACTCAATAGATGGTAAATCATAATGTGTATTATTGGTTACATTTTTATAACTTAATCTGTCTTTCTCTACCAATCAATGATACTCAAACTGTTATTTTTGTTACTCAATAGATGGTAAATCATAATGTGTATTATTGATTACATTTTTATAATTTAATCTGTCTTTCTCTACCAATCAATGATATTTGAACTGTTACTTTTTATTACTCAATAGATAGTAAGTCATAATGTGTATTATTGGTTACATTTTTATAATTTAATCTGTCTTTCTCTACCAATCAATGATACTTGAACCGTTAATTATTGCTACACAATAGAGAGTAAGTCATAATGTGTATTATTGGTTACATTTTTATAATTTAATCTGTCCTTCTCTACTAATCAATGATACTTGAACTGTTATTTTTGTTACTCAATAGATAGTAAGTCATAATGTGTATTATTGGTAAAATTTTATAATTTAATCTGTCTTTCTCTACCAATCAACGATATTTGAACTGTTATTTTTATTACACAATAGTCAGTAAGTCATACTGTGTATTATTGGTTACATTTAATAATTTAATCTGTCTTTCTCTACCAATCAATGATACTCAAACTGTTATTTTTGTTACTCAATAGATAGTAAGTCATAATGTGTATTATTGGTTACATTTTTATAATTTACCTGTCCTTCTCTACCAATCAATGATACTTGAACTGTTATTTTTGTTACTCAATAGATAGTAAGTCATAATGTGTATTATTGGTTACATTTTATAATTTAATCTTTCTTTCTCTACCAATCAACAATTGAACTGTTATTTTTATTACACAATAGTCAGTAAGTCATACTGTGTATTATTGGTTACATTTTATAATTTAATCTGTCTTTCTCTACCAATCAATGATACTCGAACTGTTATTTTTGTTACTCAATAGATAGTAAGTCATAATGTGTATTATTGGTTACATTTTTATAATTTACCTGTCCTTCTCTACCAATCAATGATACTTGAACTGTTATTTTTGTTACTCAATAGATAGTAAGTCATAATGTGTATCATTGGTTACATTTTATAATTTAATCTGTCTTTCTCTACCAATCAATGATACTTGAACTGTTACTTTTATTACTCAATAGATAGTAAGTCATAATGTGTATCA